CTGTATCTATTATATGCTGTCTATTCTACAAAATATATGTTTTTAATAAACACTTGGCATTTGTTTCACTTAACTGAAATTAAAACACACATTGGGAAACATTAATAACACAATTTCACTCACTGTTGATATTTTTATGTTTGGCTTTTCCATCAGTTTTATCAGGAAAATGCCCTAGAGAATGTAAGAAGGTTTTGAAAGTCATTTGGTTACATTACATTTAATTTTAACAGAAGACAGTAACCACAGCTGGGGGCTCTGGACCTTGGATGATTAATTATAGAGCACCATGCCAGGTTCTGCCTACTAAAACATGGTTGATAGAGACACAGTGTCCTCTGCTGGTCACTTCCAAGTGAAACAGCATTTACCATAATGTTGATTTAACATGCTGCAAGGTATAGATTTATTTGCTTTCACTTAAAAACTTTAAGAATACTAAAGGGTGTGCAAGGTATAGATTTATTTGCTTTCACTTAAAAACATTAAGAATACTAAAGGATGTGTCCCCTGCTTGCTACACTTGCCAACCCCCCTTTCTTTGGTTGCTTTTGCGCCCAGAGAGTCTGTTAATCTTGCTCTGAATCTAGCTGCGTGATCCATGGCCCCAAGTCACTCAGGGTATGTCTACACTACAAAGTTAATTCAAATTAACTTTAATAGCGGCTACACAAACCGCTAGTTTGAATTTTTGGCTACATTACTTGTGCCAGTTGCAAGCCTGCCAGCGCCCTGCGCCTGGCACGGCATGAGCCAGGAATTAAGGGCTGTGTAGCCACTTAATTCGAACTAGTGGGAGGCTAGCCCTCCCCAGCTTGCCCTGGTGGCCACTCTGGGCACCACCAGGGAAACTCTTCTGCCCCCCCTTCTGGCATCAGAGCCCTTAGAACATAAGAATATAACAACGGCCATACTGGGTCAGACCAAAGGTCCATCTAGCCCAGTAGCCTACACCAGCTACCCTAGAGGGGATGGACCGAAGACAACGACCAAGCCATTTGTCTCGTGCCATCCATCTCCAGCCTTCCACAAACACAGACCAGGGACACCATTTCTACCCCCTGGCTAATAGCACTCCATGGACTTAACCTCCATGACTTTATCTAACTTCTCTGTAAACTCTGTTACAGTTCTAGCCTTCACAGCCTCCTGCAGCAAGGAGTTCCACAGGTTGACTATTTGCTTTGTGAAAAAGAACTTTCTGTTATTAATTTGAAGCCTGCTAAACCTCTCTAAACCACTCATGCTTTTATAGACCTCTATCATAACCCCCCTCAGTCTACTCTTTTCCAAACTGAAAAGTCCCAGTCACTTTAGCCTCTCCTCTCCTTACCGCTGATCATTTTAGTTGCCCGTTTCTGAACCCTTTCCAAGGCCAAAATATCTTTTCTGGGGTGAGGAGATCACATCTGTACACAGTACTGAAGATATGGCGTTCCATAGTTTGATACTTCCCCTCCTCCTTCTTCCCCTGGCTTCCCCCTTCCAGCTCCCTCCTCCCAGGTTTCCCCCTCCCCTCTCCCACCCTCTCTCTTCCCCCTCCCACCTCCTTTCCCCAGTCTCCCCAGAGGTTAATCCTGGGCCCCCCCAGTTTTGTTAAATAAAGAGAGTTTATTTTTGAAAACACGTGTCCTTTATTTTGTACATCAAGAAGGGGTAAGTGGAAGGAGGTGAGGGAGGAATGGGGTACGAGCCCCCAATTGGGAGGACTGGGGTGGTTCTGCGGGCTCCTCGGGGTGGAAGCTCTCCTGCAGGGCCTCCTGGATCCTAACAGCCCCCCAATTGATCCCCCCGGATGGCAGCCTGTGGCAAGTGCAGTCGGGCTGATGGCCGAGTGCTGTGATGTGCCGAGGGTGGGCACTCCGGGCACTCCAAGCCAGGACTGTTTTGCTGTCCCTCATCAAGGTAGACCAGCAAGCAGGGAACCCTGAGAACTGTCTGTCCGGGGTGGAGTTCGGGTCCCTTTAAGCACAGCCCTTGGCTCGTTGGGGAGGACTGGGGTGGCTCTGTGGGGTCCTCAGGGTTGAAGCCCTCCTGCAGGGCCTCCTGGATCCTGACAGCCCCCCGAATGACCCCGTCCCGGAAGGCAGCCTGCAGCAAGTGCAGCCGGGCTGATGGCCGAGTGCTGTGATGTGCCGAGTGTGGGCACTCAGGGCACTCTAAGACAGGATTGCTTTGCTGTCCCTCATCGAGTTAGACAAGCAAGCAGGGAACCCTGAGAACTATATGTCCGGGGTGGGAGTCGGGTCCCTTTAAGCACAACCCTCGGCTAGCCTGAGGCAGCAGCTCCACACTCTAAATCCTAACCTGATGCCCTGCTGGCACTGGTTCCGGCCATCCTTAACTTCGGTTCACGGTCCACTCAATGTGGACATGCTATTTCGAATTAGCAAAACTCTAATTCGAATTAGTTTTTAGGTCTAGATGCACTAATTCGAATTAGCTTATTTCGAATTAACTAATTTGACTTAAGTTAAATTTGAATTAGTACTGTAGTGTAGACATACCCTCACCTTTCTCCACTCCTGTCTACCACACTCCTGGACAGGCCCCTATATCTGAAGCTCTCGTCCCATCCCACCCGCTCGTGCACTTAAATTGCCAGCCAGTTCCCCCTGCCTGCACCCTTCCTGCTCCTGCCCCAACCACCAATAATATAGTCCATGACCCACAGCTCCCCCCCTCTTTCCATCCCTATCCCACCTCCATTCCTACACCAACCTGCTCTCCCTAACCCCTCCCCTACCCACCGTACACTGTCTATCCCTACTCCTACCTCCTTCCTCCATATTCCTACACCCCCATCCTTCCCTAACCCCTCTTCCTCCGTACCCCCACAGTGCCCCTCCCCCTGCCTCCATTGCTATATCCCCCTAACCCGCACCATTCTCCCTCACCACATCACTCATCCCCACATACACTGTTATCCCCTTTCCTTCCTCCCTACACACACTCTGCCTCCTCCCACGAACAGGCAACCTAACCACCAAAGAAACGTGTATGCAGGAATTTCTCTGGGGGGGATGCTCTGGGTGCTGTGACAGCAGGATCAGGGCAGTTACCTGGAGAGAAGAGGCAGAAAAGGTGACAAGGCTGGGGTGCTATGAAGTGGGAAAGGGGGATGTCTGTGGGCAGAGGAAATGGAAAGGAGGCAAAGAAAAAGGCTGGAGGGAGGGGCAGAGAGTAGGGGGTTCCTTTGGAATGCCAGGTTGAAAAAGGGGGATGGGAGTCTGTGAAGGGGCAGGAGAGGGGCCAAGGACACACATGGAGGATGGAAAGAGGGCCAGGGAGCCATGCAGTGAGAGGGGGGGGTCTCTGGGAACCAACATGCAGAGGCAAGCGTCTCACTCCCCCCTCCAGCTAGCCTGCCCCCACTCAGCCCATGTTGGCAGCCACTCCGAATGCTTCTGGGCTTCCCCTCTGTGATGCCTCAGGGGCTGCTAGACTGCAGCAGCGGTTCCACCAGGGGGGCTTGGCTCTGGTACTGCCACTCATGGTGTGGTGAAGGATGGGGTGGCAGGTGGCCAGGGATGCGGAGCCTGCCTCTGTTCCTGGCACAAACGGGCCATGCCCCAAGCCTCGCACCAGCTGAAGCAGCTCCCTGGGCTAGAGGGCTGAGAGCCCACACTGAGAGTGAGCTGGCAGTGAGCCAAAGCTTAGCCCGCCCCACGCATTGGTCGCACACCACAGGCAGCCGCCAGAAGGGGACATGGTGCCGTGGTTGCTTCCCACGAGTAGGGGGGTACCCAGGCTCGTCCAGCATGCAGCCAGTGCCTCCCCTTAGACACCAGGCCCCACACGGCATCTCCAGTGGGCCTGTTCCCACATGGTACCTCAGGCCCTCTGGCTGCTGGGAAGGCCCTAAAAGTCCCCAGGTCCAGCTGCCCCAGAGCCTCTACCGGGGGTCTTCCCTCCGAGCAATGGTGGCAGTGCTGCTGCAGCCCCATTCCCTACAGCAGGCTGATCCAGAGCGGTACCCAGGCCCTAGATAGAGTCATTTCCACCCCTGGACACTGTTTGGGGACCAGCAAAGCCTCCTGGCAGCCCCAGCTTGGGCAGATTCCGCCTTCCAAGGGTCCTGCCCATTCAGCTCTGGCCGCAGCTTTTCGGGAGGCGGAATCTGCCCTGGCCTCTACTGACTTTAAGAGAGTCAGGATTTTATTCTCAGATTTTGTTTCCAATTCTGCTTCTGACCTTGAGTGTGGCTTGGGCATGTCATGTCATCTCTCAGCCTCAGTTTCCAAATCTACAAAATTGGAACCATGATCCCTGCCTCCCTCTGCAGAGTACCCTGAAATATATGGATAAAAAGTATTAAGAGCTAAAGTCAATGGGACTACTCCTTAAATTAAGCACCTTAAGTGTTTTCAGGTTTGGGGCCTTATTACTTTTGTTCTAGACATAACACACTGAATCACACCTTGATCCAGCTGTTTGTCAAACACATTGCTAGAAAATTATCTGTTGAGCATTGCAAGGTCATTAATTTTGGTTTAAAAAAAGGTAGAGTTAAAAGGTTTATACCAGCACGGGAAATAGAAGGCAATCTAGTTTTCTCCCTCCCTGAAAAATCTGACAACAACCAAATCAGTGTCCTGAATCAGAATCAGGCCTTTCAGAATGCCACAGTGCAGAAATCTAAGGAACCGATGACCCAAATTTGACATATGGACCCAAATTTACTGATGAATAAAGTCCTAAGAAATAAATTAGGAAGACTTGAAATTTAGTCATGAGTTAAACATCAGGTTATATTAAATGTGGCATTAGTATGTGATAACTAAAATATTTTAATGTTTTTATGATCTTGAAATTATAAAACAAATTTGAAATGGTTGTTATTTCTAAACGCTCACTTTTTTGGTTGGTGTTTTGTTATTATTTTAAGTCTTGCACGTTTTGGAGTTTTCCCCTACGTAGCTACCAGTGTGTACAATTGCATCTAATGTTACATGAAGGCTAAAGTAATTATAGCAACAGTAACTATGTTGCTGATTTTCTTTTATCACATTTAACAAATAGATCACATTGCCACCAACAAAAAGCAAACAAAAAAGTTTATATCCCAAGACAAACCTGGTAAACAAAGAATAGCAGCTTAACTACCAACTGCAGAAAAGCAGTTTTTCCTCTCTAATTTCACAGCCATGTTAGACAGAATGCATTTATTATTCTGATTTGTGTTTTGTTATATTACTCAGCTCTACTTGCCGCTAAAGAATAGCAAAGAGGATCAAAAAACTTCTAACAAAGATGCAAAATTAAAGGTGAGGAGTTTTGGATTTCTTTCCCAATATTCTTCAGTGATTTCTAATTCAAGTACTGTTGTTGGTACAGTGATTCTTTATGAAAGAATTTGTGAAATAATGTGATCCTGCTCTGCTGCTCCATAGTCAGGTTCAACTTCAAATGATAACTGAAGCCATTTTTTGAGAAGTTACTCATATGATTATGTATTCAAATAGCTTGTTTACAAATCCATATGCCATAGACGTTCTAAAGACAAAAAAGGAGGAACTGGTAGAAGGCATAAACAACCCAGACCATCTTCTTAATTGGCTGATAAACAATGGTATTTTTACCCCAGAGAAAAAAATGGTTATGTCCTATTACAGAACACGAATAGCAAAGAACTCCCGGGTTTTGGATAGCCTGATTTCTCAAGATGAGCGAGCTTGCAGGCTATTTTTTTATCCATGTCTAAAACAATTGGAGCCAAATCTATATAACAGTGTAAAAAAATATGTCAGTGATGTCAATGAAAGTACTGGAGATACTAGAAGACAATTGGTAGGTTATCTACTTGAAAATGACAGGGAATGGACTGAAACAATCACTGAACAACACCAGGAGAAGAAAAATATTCCGAGACAAATTTTATCAAAGCACAAAAGAGCACTTAAAGAGAAAGTTAAACAAACACCAAATTTACTTGCAGGAAAACTCAAGAAAGACTATTCTAAGGCTGTTAGTATCTTTGATGCAGCTACTAAAGGTGATCTTCCTGATCTCAAGAATGTATTGAAGAAGAATGATATTAATGCAGTAAACTCTTCAAATGAAACACTTCTGCATATTGCAGCTGCTAATGGCCATGCCACAATAATTGAATATTTAATTAACAAAGGTGCTGAATTAGATGTAAAGGACAAAAAAGGAAGAACACCACTGCACAGGGCTCCTGAAAAAGGCCAGGATGATGCAGTGGATGTGCTTCTCCAAGCTGGTACCTACATATACAGTTTGGATAAAGAAGCTAAGACCCCACTTCATTTGGCTGCTCAGAATGACCACATTCACATACTGAAGAGGATCCTGAAAGAAGAAGTAAGATGCTACAAGAACCGGCAAAACTTCTTACACATGGCAGCCCTCAAAGATGAGAGCAATCTGGCACAAATGCTTTTAAAGAATGGTGCCACAGTTGATGCAAAGGATGAGAAGGGACAGACTGCTTTGGGTTATGCCATTTCCCAGGGATCTGAGAAAACCGTAAAGGTATTGCTAGAAGCAGGAGCCAGTATTGACTGGTACATCATCGATGTAGCCTGCAACAAAAACAAACAATCCATATTAAAAATGCTGTTGGAATATTCTAAAGGGCTGTCCCCTGACACGATGGAGTCAGCTCTGTTTAAAGCTGTACAGAAGAACCTGCACGGCATTGTCGTAGCTTTACTAGACAAAGGCACAGATATAAATGCCCACAATGAAATGCAATACACACCTTTACTCATGGCATGTGAAATGGGTAAAACAGAGACTGCAGAAGTTCTCATTGTAAAGGGAGCTAGTTTGGAGGAGAAGATGCCCAACTCAAACACAGTTTTACACTTGGCAGTTCAAACTGGTGCAGTCTCCATTACAAATCTGCTTCTCCGCAAAGGAATGAATGCTAATATCACAAGCCAGGGAAAGCAAACCCCACTCCATGTTGCTGCACTTCACAATAAGGAATCAATAGTTGACATTTTAATCAATGCTGGGGCCAAAATTAATGCTGTCACTAAGGAATTAGTCACTCCCTTGCATATTGCAAGCCAAAGAGGTAATGTTGATGTGGCTCCACAGCTGCTACACCACCAAGCCAATGTTAATGTAAAAGATAAGCACTCAAAGACACCCTTACATCTTGCTGCCGAACAGGGAGATCATGAAATGGTGCAGCTGCTTCTTAGTTTTAAGGCTGATCCTAATGCAATGGACAAGGAGAAAAAGACCCCACTTCACACTGCAGCTATGGGAGGTCATCTCAATATAGTGAAAGTTCTCTTAGCCCAGAAGGCCAGATTTGGAGTTAAAGATATGGATGGCTGCACACCAATGCACTATGCGATCATCAAAGGAAATGCAGAAATAGTACAGATCCTTTTGACAGCAGGGAAGAATAAAAATATTGATGATAAAAATATTTGGAGAAAGACTCCACTGCATCTTGCAGCAGAACATGGACACAGTGACTTGATTAATTTGTTGTTGAGCAATGGATCGGCCATTAATGCTTTAGACAACAACAAGGATACCCCATTGCACTGTGCTTGCAAGGCTGGTCATTTTAACTCTGTAAACTTACTTGTCAGCTGGTCTCACAGAGAAAAAGCAAATTTACACGCCACTAATAGTGTCAAAAAGACTCCACTGCAAGTAGCAGAATGTAGTGCAACTGATAGTCAAGCTCAGGTTGTAACACTTTTGAAAAAGAAAATGTTAATAAAATTAAATTGTGAGGAGAAATAAATTAAAATATTTAAGTGCAGGATTACAATTTCACAATATCCATTTACAATATGGATATATAGACTATTACTAGAACCCTGCACATTCATGGATATCCACAGCTTATTTTTGTGAATATGGATGTGGATACAAATATTTATCTAGAACTATGCAAATCTGCATATATCCACGAAATATGTGAACTAGTCGACTATACGATAAGCAAATGCTTATCAGTCAGTCAACACAGTAGTTGACTAGTTGCTTCCTCCTGACCTTGTTGCCTCTAGCAGAAAGAGGCAGCAAGGGGGAGGGCGGAACAGGAGGGTGCGTCAAATTGGCAGCACCGCATGGAGTCCAGGGTCTGCCACTTTGAAACACGGCATGCAGCTCAGGGCCAGCTAGGGAGTCCCCAGCTGGCCCTGGGTTCCATGTGACGCTGTCACTTTGAAACGCTGCATGGAGCCTGACACTGGGCTCTCCATGGTGTTTCAAAGGCATGGAGCCCAGGGTCAGCTGGGAACTCAGAGTCCCCAGCAGACCATGAGCTCCGTGAGGTACTGCTGTTTTGAAACACCTTGGGGAGCATGGGGCCAGTGTGGGACTGCTTGAGTCCCCCACTGGCCCTGTGCTTCCCGCAGCACTTTCCCTGGGGCTGTTGCTACACTTCAAAGGCAGAGGCACCCTTACTGACTAATTGAATAGTCAATGCAAATTGCATCGACCATTCAATTAGCCAATTAATCTAAATTTAACATCCATAATCCACGGCTCATTTTTGCAGATGCAGATATGGATGCTAACAGTCAGAGGTGGTGTGTGTGCGTATCCCATTGTTGATTTACTGCATGTTGACAGTGCTCGATTTTAATACGAATCTCATCATATTTGGTGTCTTTCTTAGAGTCCCAGCTTGAAGAGTCAAGTAAGCACAAAAAAACCCTCATTAATATCTTAAAAATAAATGTTCTAGCCTTTGCTGTTTAAAAATAAAGCTTGAACATGTGAACATTACTGCTTCAAAAAATCAGAATGAAAATAAGAATCCCATTTATTTATTTTTTTTAATTTCATGACATTTAAGATGAACTATCAAGATTTTCTGGAGCCTGACCCAAGATTTCTGAATGGTTGTTGTTAGCCAGTAATGGTTGGGGTTAGTAAAAAAGTGCTAAATAATTAAATTCAATATTAACCAGTATATTTAATTAAAATATCCTATGTTATAAACAACAAAAATTATAAAATTAATTTTCATTTTACATGCATAGTTGCCATTTGTTTACTTTTTTGCTTTTCTCAAGATGGACAATGAAAACACTCTTGTCAGTTTGAAATGTCTTTCAGGCTAACATGTTCTAGCACAAAACTGCAATGTTTACATTGTATAGTATGCAGTCAAGTGTTCAATAATGTTATTTCTTCCAGTAGATTTTTCTGTAAAATTAACATATTTGTATTGGTTGGTAGTTGTGTAACAACTTTTTAACAGAATCAAATCTGAAGTCATATTTCATCTAATAAAGACCCTTACCCTTACTGTATTTCGCCATCTCCATCATTATCACTGTTGATCTAATTAGCAGAAAGGGTAAAGGGTCTCTTATGAAGATGAAAAACAGATCTGGACTGGAACACCAAGGCCATCTGAAAAAAAATCATCCAGGGTTCAAAATTCAAATAGCCAGAGGAAAGAGGCTTCATGCAGCCAGAACTCCTTAAATTAAATTAAATCAAAAAGGCTTCTCAAAGCTTCACTTCCAGTGGAAGTGAAAGGGCTCCTTGTGCCAGATTTTTATTCCCAGACAACAGGGGCATTTCATAGCCAAGGTTCATAATCTCAGCCCAGGGTGAGTGAAGTCTTTGATCTTCCCACATCACAAGACTCCTTCGAGATCACTCTCCTTGGGATGTAGTAATTCACTCTAGCTCAGCCAACCCACCATGTTCCCCTCTTGGCTGGGTTCAGTGGCAATCCCTACAATAAAGGTAGACAGCCGAAATGTTTTTTCATTTTCAATTCAGAGAAGACAATGCTAAATGTTTTTACTGGTCAGGAACTCCCAATTTGTATTACAAGCTGATGCCTGCACAAATCCAAACCTAATACAGTAAAACTCCGATGGTCCGGCACTCCTGATGGTCTGGCACCATCAGGAACCCGGAAGTGCTCTGGGCAGCCAGACCATTGGAGCTGCTCTGCCCCCAGCTTCTCCTATTCAGCCACTGCTAAAACTGACCAGCGGCTAAATCGGGGAAGCCGGAGGCAGAGCAGCTGGGGCGCTACCAGGTAGGTCCCCTAGCGCTGCCCCTCGGGGCTGCGGGACCAACTGGGTAGCCCCCCAGGTGTCCCCTATTCAGCCGCTGCTGAAACTGACCAGCGGCTGACTACAGGAAGCCCAAGGCAGAGCTGCTCTGCCCCAGGCTTCCTGGAATCAGCCGCTGATCAGTTTTAGCAGCAGCTGACTTGGGGACACTTGAGGTAGAGCAGCTGGGGTGCTGCCAGGTTGGTCCCCACAGCGCCGAGGGGCGGCGCTGCGGAGACCAACCTGGCAGCGCCCCAGCTGCTCTGTCCCAGGCGTCCAGATTCAGCCGCTGTTGAAACTGACCAGCAGCGGCTGAATCAGGGACGCCTGGGGCAGAGCCGGACTATTGGAAGGGGGGGCTATGAGGGGTCTAGGGTGGCATCCTCCCATCCCAGACCCCACATAGCCCCCCCCTTCCGATAGTCCGGCATATCTGATAATCTGGCACCCCCTGGGTCCCAAAGCCCCTGGATTATTGGAAATTTACTGTATATGGTCATGCCAATTCTCTTCCAGCATATGATCTGAGGAAGTGGGTCTGGCCCACGAAAGCTCATCACCCATTACCTTTTGCGCAAAAGCTTTTGCGCAAAAGGGCCAGTGTAGACAGCTCAGATTTGTTTTGCGCAAAAAAGCCCTGATCGCGAAAATGGTGATCGGGGCTTTCTTGCGCAAAAGCGTGTCTAGATTGGCAAGGACGCTTTTCCACAAAAACTGCTTTTGCGGAAAAGCATCCGTTCCAATCTAGACGCTCTTTTCCGCAAATGATTTTAACGGAAAACTTTTCAGTTAAAAGCATTTATGGAAAATCATGCCAGTCTAGACGTAGCCGCCATGTCTTTATCTGTTTCTCTGCGTACCTGTCCCTTAGTTCTGGGCACACAACTGAGAAGCAGTTCCAAATCCCATATGTGCACGGTTGGATAATGATTGGGAAAGGATGGGACAATTTGCACCACTGAAACAATATTGACGTAGACACTTTAGATAACTGCAGGAATACATTTTATTGATAGAGGGGCTGCTTTACATTGTCACTACTATTCATTTTTATATTGTATTAGAAGCAGGTCATGGAACAGGACTTCTCTGTGCATGCTCCTTTACAAATGCCTATCTCAGAAGTTTGCACTACTCTAATTATATCCACTGGAAATAACATAGACCAGAGCAGTTCCTAAACCTGCCAGAAGCCTAATTTACTTCCAAGACTTTGACACTTTCATCACAGTGATGACTCTGATTTAGGATTCAAACAGCTCCAAGTGGAGCATTGGTGAACTGCACTGTGTGCTCTGCAGTCACTGTTTCTATTGTGCAGCACTTCTACCCAGTGCCTGCAGTCAGCAAGATGTGGCAGAGGTAGGGAGAAGACTGGGATGGTGAACTGGGAGGAGACCTATTTTGAAAGGAGGCCATTGTTGGATGTTCAGTTGGGGATGAACATCTTAGGGTGGGCTGGAGAAGACGGTATGGGGGGGCAGTTAGCAACAAAGCTGTGCTGCTGCACCTCGTTCTGCCCCTCTCTTTCCCCCTCCCCATGGCATTTACCCCTCTCTTCCGACTCTTGTTGGTATTTGCCCCTCTGATCTCCTCTCTTTCCCCCGCCCTGGGTATTTACCCTTTTCTCCCTCCTCCCCTGAGTATTTTCCCCCTCCCCATGGCATTTACCCCTCTCTTCCGACTCTTGTTGGTATTTGCCCCTCTGATCTCCTCTCTTTCCCCCGCCCTGGGTATTTACCCTTTTCTCCCTCCTCCCCTGAGTATTTGCCCTTCTCCCCAGGGTATTTCCCCTTCTCCCCTCTCTCCCCCCCCCATGGTATTTGCTCTTCTCCCCCCCTCTCCCCCCCATGGTATTTGCCCTTCTCCCCCCATGGTATTTGCCCTTCTTCCCTCTCTCCCCCCCATGGTATTTGCCCTTCTCC